AAACTAAGCGGACTTTTTGTATCACATTCTAACTCGAGAAGTATTTATCCCGATTTCTCGTAAAATTTAATTAATTTTTTTTTTTTTTCGTTTAATCGGTCTTAGCCTTATCATTGTGTTACGACCAAACTATTAATAAGTCTCACATTGAAGGGTCTTTATTAATCCATGCTCTGACCGTCAAAGTTGAATATTAATATATGCTCTGTTTTATTCTTAGTTTAGATCTATTAAAAGTGAACCGTAAGCTAAACTTACCCAACATATGATTTGCACATAGGCGGTAGGCATGCATTAGTCGTTCTAAACTGAGCGCAGCCGTCCCAATCAGTCTCACATTGAAGGCTCTTTATCACCCCATGGTCCGACCGACAGAGTTTGAATATGAAAGTTGTCATGAAACTCTTGAATTTTTTTCTTTTCCTCGCCGCCGAGGATTTAAAAATTTTTCTTTAGACAAAGAAAAAAAAATAAATAAAATAAAAATAAAATAAAATGAATGAAATAATAAAAAAACAAACTAGATGAACGAAAAGGTCTGGTCAGTTTCCGGCTGTGCGTCTGTCGCCAGTGGGTCAGTCGGTCATCGTCTAGCGTCGGCCCTACATGGCCACCATGTGCACGCCCCTACACCTCAGCCACAGCGGTGGCAGCGCACGCTTAGCCACACATGGGTAACAACAAAATCGGATAACTTAAAGGAAAAGATAACATAACTTACAGTACAAGCAAGGTGGTAGTGTTCGTTTACTTGGCGAGTATCACTGCTTTCACTGTCGGCCGCAGCTCCCCTAGTGCTCCCGATAAGTTGTTGCTGTTGTTGTTGCTTCTGCCTTCAATTTTATTACCTCCCTCTGATTCGTTGCTGGGGGTGTAACAAGGTGACGGTGACTACTTCACTGGAAGCGGCGATAAATCCTCAGGACTTTGTTGTAATAAACCAATTAAAAGCCTTTTTTTTGTTTTTCGCATTCATTCATATATTTATTATTCCTCTTTTTTTTTCCAAATATCTTATGCTGCTTCACTGGCTTATTAACTATAAATTTTGTTGTTAACATTAATAAATGGAGTCTAATTAATCAACTATATGTGTAAGTGTTCATTGTGTGTTAAGGGTTTTTTTTCCCTTTTTTTTTTTTATATTCCCAGCATCACATGGGTTTACGTGTATTATTTGCACAGGCTCTCGCGATAAGCATCTCTAACTAACTTTATATGCGACGGCTGTACCCGTTCTACATGAAAAAAAATAACGTTCTACATATGCTGTCCTTTGCTTTTCGATAATTTTCTTCCACAATAAGCGCAATTTCTGAGGCAAAAATGAATCATTTAGTTACTTTAATTAAATCGAAGAATTATGCCAACACCTATGTGATATTAAGACCGTGTCAATCAACAAGCCCTTCATTATCAGTCCTTTTTTTTTCTTTAACAAAATGTGTCGTTTTCGTTCTGTTTTTGTTTTCGATGACGTTTTCTCCTTATAATTAATCAAACTTTCTTTGGTGCAGAATAAATTTAAAAGTGCAAAATCTTTGCAATTTTCTTAATTTTCACTTTTCACTTGTTTATTTATTTTACTCTAGTTTTTCTTTTGCGATTTATACACTCTTGCCCACTAGAAAATCGATCGTTCTCACTGAAGTCTAACATCTGACCGTTTTATTGCGGGGTGATACGTATATTTCCTTTTGTAGCTTTTTGTAGCCCTTAATAAAATGAGTCGTTTTCGTTTTGCTTTTGTTTTCGGTGACGTTTTCTTATAATTAACCAAAACTTTCCTCGATGCAGAATAGATTAAAGGGTGCAAAATCTTTGCAATTTTCTTAAGGAACACTTGTTTATTTATTTTACTCTAGTTTTTCTTTTGCGATTTATACACTAGAAAATCGACCGGTCACACTGAAGTCTAACATCTGACTGTTAATGGATAAAGCGCGACAAGAACTGCACTCAGCGAGTGCCTGACTCCGACTGACTTCAACTCAGAATTCTATCCTCTGACTTTAATTTTTGAAACGCAGACAGACTTCTCCTTTTCATTTCATTTCCCTCTTCTTCTTCCTGTTGCTCTCTCTCTATAACGGCTTGCCGTTACTCTCACAAGAGCAAGCATAGATCCCGCAAAATCATACGATTTTGCCTATGCTTGCAAGAGCAAAAGGAAAAAAAAAAGGAGTACCGCAAAATCATACGATTCTGCCTGTACTTGCAAAAGCAAGCAAGGGTACCGCAAAATCATACGATTTTGACTGTACTTGCCAAAGCAAGCAATGGTACCGCAAAATCATACGATTTTGACTGTACTTGCAAAAGCAAGCAATGGTACCGCAAAATCATACGATTTTGACTGTACTTGCGAATAAGGAGATCAGACAAGAAAAAGAAAATAAAATAATAAACACATATACCGCAAGATCATGCGATTTACTAGCGGCACCACAAAATCGCATGATTTTGTCCAACGGCATGCCGTTATTGCTCCGCTTGCGGTTGACACAGACCGACAGACACCCTACCCAAGGTTTGTTCGCGGCCGTTACAAAGTAAGCTCGGCTTTATCCTTGCCCAACATATGATTTTCATATAGGCGTTAGGCATCCATTAGTCGTTCTAAACTGAGCGCAGCCATCCCACATATTTAGAATTAATTTGAAGCTGAAAAGGATGAGCGTACATTAAACTCCATATATAAAGTGTTACTTACATAAAAGCGACTTTGTGTCACAAACATAAACATCCAGGACAACCACTTGATTACAAAATTGTATGAATTGTGTGCTATAAGGAATGGAATGCACGGTATTTGGTTCAAGTGTTATAATTACGATTTTCATTTTATTTCATTATTCGATAAAATAAAAAAGCAGAAAATTTTCTAAGTAAATGAATAGACGAAAGGAATCCATTTCATGCCCAAAGAGAAAGAGAGAGAGAAAGAGAGAGAGATGTTTTACAACCATTTTCTTTTAATTGCAGAACATTAATATTAGCAGAACGGATCTGCAGCGAAGTGGATAATAATTGAAAAATTTTTCGCTGCACCTTAAAAGATTTAGAAAAAATTATTCAATTTGAAAAGTCTTAAATTAAATAAAAGAAACCTCTACCATCTCCTGATCGAGCAAAAAAATAGAAGGAGAGAGCTTAGCTTAAAATAGCAAAAAATATTGATTCTTAAGGAACCTTTTTGAAACCAAATTTTTAAAATTAGTTTGTAGGAATTACTTGCTCAATAGTGCCCACTTCGAACAAATTAATTCAATGAAAACGATGCCATTTCAATTAATGCAATTATAAGAAGTTTTCAAAACAGGACCTTATGTGGGAAGTGGACGGAAAACTGATCCAGTCTCAAGCATTTTCAATGGCATTTATCCTAGGTGTATCGAATTCCATCAAAATATTCTAAATATTGCGCCCTCAACAATGCGGGACGGACAGACAGACAGACAAGCTCAGATCAGTTTCGAAAAAGAGAAAAAGATGATTGTATCTCAAGCCCATCTGAACTTTGTGTGCATATGCACACATAAGTGCGCACCACAAGTGGTGTACGTGAGATGAGTAAAAACTATAAATTTTATAATAAAACATATCAATATTTAAGACTTAACTCACTTTCAGCAACAGTGGGTGACGTACGATTTGATTCCATTTCCTATATTAAGGCATTTTGAGAATTTTATAAAAAATATACGTTATGTGAAGAGTCATTGACTTTAGGCAAACAGCCTAATATTATTAATAATCAACATAAAGTCCCAAACCTCTGTCTCAGACCAAGTTCAGAAAATTACAAAAAAAAACGTTTTTTTTTTTAGATATTAGTTGAGACAAATATATATCGCTCACTGACAGCCTGACCAAAGAGCATAAGAAGCAACTGCACGAATTTCCATCTGTCCTCTGCCAAGCCTTCTTTCCAACTTTTTTTTCTTCTCTTAATAGTACTCGGAGAAGATGATGAAAAAATCAAATCAAAACAAAAAAATCAACCAACTTACATTGTTCAAACAAATACGTAACCGCTCGGAAAATTAACAAATCCGCAATACCTACATGTTCTCAATAACTTTATTCCTCAGGCGCAAATTTTATGGCAGGCGTTCTTGTCATTATTTGCCTTAGCCATATTCTTTGTATTTAATTTAATGCCTTTTGAACTTTGCTCTACGTGCTTAACAATAGAACCATTTAAGGACTCTTTTTAGGAAGATAATGCATCTTCGTTTAAGGAGTGTACAAAATAGTTTTAAACATTCGATCTTACAAGAACTTCCAATGCTTCTGCCGAATTTCAAGTCGATATTTTCATTTTTGCGACCACGAGAATGCCAATAACACACACCACACAGACATGTTAGTCTGTGCGCGGCTATATACTTTATAGCGTTTCTGAAACTACATTTTGGGTGTCATATACATTATGAAGAAAAACAAAACGAGCATACACCCATCTTACATTGGTGGGTATAAAAATGATAAAATCTCTTCTGTTCCTTTCAAGTTTCATTTGAAACACACATCTGAATAAAAAAACGGAGTAAGTTAGCTTAGAAAAAAAAAGAAAAGGAAAATAACTTGAGTTACTCTTCCTGTTTCACGTGCCTGCCATGTATAAGTCCCAAACCTCTGTTCAGTGTTGAGCCAAAGTCGTTTCACCACAACGTCCTCCACAACATTGTAATTTCTTTGAAGGGTAAATAGAATTAAATTAATTTATTATTTAAAGATTTTAAACGTTGTCAATAATATTAAGAAATGTATATATATTTTGTTTTTGGGACGATGAGTTAAAATGGACTTATATGTCAAAATATTACGAAATAAAGGTAAAGAAAATTTATGATAAATAGATGAATGGCAACAATTCTAAAGAATGTAAACAAATTAACATATGCGCAAAATACAACAACAACAGTACACACATGGCACTGGATTTACAATACGAACCAAAAACGGTACTGCTTTTGTAGCAAAAAAAACAACTCATATACATAAAAATGGAGTGATTTTTTTTATAAACAGCTGTTGATCCTTATATTAGTGGGAAAAAAGCAATGCGCCCTCGCTGTATACTTTGTATTTCGATTAAGCGATAAATCGATGCATGAGACATTGCGAAGCGTTAACGATATCTCGCAATATTTCACGACGAAAGAAAAGCATTGAAAATAGCTGGCAATCGACAATAGCAATAAAAAGAGACCAGCAAGTGGCAAAGCTGAGAAGAAGCCGCAATTAGAGCTACCAAGTGTTATTCAATTACAAAAATATATCAAAGATACTAGGCATTAGAAAAGCACGTGGTACGGGGCGTTGAAAACTAATTAAAATGCCAATATAATCTTATCTTCTGTATCTTCTGTTTACATAGCGAATTCGATCGTTTGGAGCTTACAGCTGTGCGGACGTTGAAAAGTGTTAAAACGAAAATTTAATAAAGATGTCGGGATGGGTAACTTCGAGTTACATCGTGTATGGTACCTCGTTGGTCCTGCTATCGAAAATAGTTTACCGTAGTTATCGTATGATCAAAAATTGGTATAATCGCAAATCCATGGAAAAGGAATTGTGGGCATTAATTTTGACCAACGAATTATCTCTATCTTGTGTTGCGGAGCATACGAAAACCACAAATGGCTTTGCCGCCATTTCATCGAATGACACAAAAGTTCCTAATAAAATAGATATCATTGAAAGAGGACCCCTATGTTCAAATCCATATTGTGTGGATTCGAATGTTCGCATTATCGTAGATTTGCTAAATGCGACAAAATATTCCATAGATATAGCCATGTACATGATTGGTTCAATTCCGATATCGGAAGTTTTAGCTGAGGCATCATTGCGACGCGTTGAAGTTCGTGTAATAACTGATAACTCTGAACCTTCCTTGATAAGTTCGGGAACAGAGTACTTACAGAAATACGGTGTAAGGGTACGTTCCAATACGCAGACAAGTGGAAAACTTATGCATCACAAATTCTGTGTACTTGATTCGCCCTCCCGTGTCAAGTATTTACTGGAAAAGCAAAATACGTTATTTGTGAAGAAATCGGCAGAAATTGATAAAATAAGCAGCATTTTAATGACAGGCTCTTTAAATTGGAACGTGCGGGGTTTCTCCACCAATTACGAAAACATTTTGCTAACTAATCAAAAACAAATGGTACAAAAATATTCAGATGAATTTCAACATATGTGGAAATTGTTTGACCCAACCAATGAACATGCAGATTGACACTAATCCCAATGCTCTAATTCATTGTATGCGCATAAACGACTACAGAAATAGAAGTTTTCAGCAATTCTGAAGACTTATTTGAATTGATTGATGATAATAATGATGATACTTTGAATTTGATTCATTAATTATTCAGATTTATTTCAATTTACGAACTTTTGTTTTCTTATTCCCTAAACTTATCTAAATTCGTAACTTTAGCTTATAAGTTTATTATTATAAACATAATAAAAAGTGAAGTCTAAACAATGAAGCACAGACGTTATGAATATCGTTATGGTTTTCTACTGATTCCCAAATTTAATTGTTAAGCTTTTATTTTTGTATTCACCGTTATATTCGAGTGGTTGTTGATACAATTGGATGCACTGCTCCTTCATATAGCGCCTTATCTTGAAACCCATTGTATGAAAACAATGTATTTCCCAAATTTGTTAAGAAAACTCTCTGTTAAATAGTTATTCGACATCGCTAGATTGAGATAAAAAATTTGCATTGGATTTCCCATGTAAGAGTTCCTACAAAAAGTAGGCCTTTAGATAGTGAAAAGCGCTATTCTTTTGTATGTATGTATGTAACAGTAATTTGACAGAAGCGGTCTTGCTAAGCTGCTTCCCAAAGTTTCTTTGCTTTAACAGATACCATAAACATGTGGTGGGTTTTAATTCTACAGTTTTTTTAAGTAAACGCCGCCATATTCTTACAAAAGATTCCACTAGAAACGAATGTTCATATAAGACATAGAATAATAATTTTTTGAACCTGACATTATCATCACCAGTTCAGGTGAACAAGAGCACATTGAAATTAAGGAAATAAACGATTTCATTGAATCAGTAGATAGGAATATAAAAATGTTTATTAAAATACCACCTGGAAATACATAGATAAGAAGCTAATAATAAGGCCGGATTTTGGAAGAGAGTAAAGTTTGCATGCATGTTTACATGCCATCAATCAGTTTCATATGGACGTCCATTAAGCACTGCAAAAATAAGATTATTTAGCAATACGAAAAGACGATTATTTGTTTATCAATGTTGAGTTAACTATTAATAAAATTTCCTAAAAATTAAACGTTTACATACTTTAAAATGCTTATTAACATTTTGCTGAAGGCAAATTTTTACTCTTTATCATCGCCGTCGCCAGCAATTTTTATATCTCTTTGAATGCCCTTTAATGGGAAATTAAAATAAAAAAAAAATATTATTTTATAACAAAAATATAATCTCTTCAATCTATTTTCAAACTTTACATAAAAATATATATTTATCCAAAGCATAATCTTGCAAACATTCTTCTGTAGATAATTCATATATTTATTTATTGTACATTTTGTACTTTGTATTAAACAGGTTGTTGAAAAGGGATAGAAAAAAAAGCCATCACCCCGAAAATGTTAATAAGCGTATACCACCGACCATATCAGTACAACAAGTAGATATAAAAATTTGGTAAAGCGAAATTACCTTAAAATATTTTACAGTCTTGACACGCAATTCCAATGTGGCATCCTCATCACAAATCATTAAAGTATTTTGATGCTGCTGAAAAGCGCTTACTGTCCACATATGATTTATTCCTTCCTCAATTGCTTTATATAATGCGAATGCTTTATGTGCTCCCGTTATAAGGATCATCACTTCTTTTGAATCCATTACAGTACCTACGCCCACAGTAAGAGCTTGTTTGGGCACTTTAGTCATATCGTTATCGAAGAAACGAGCATTTGCTTCTAAAGTATCTTGAGCTAACGTTTTGACCCGTGTACGTGATACCAGAGAAGAGCCAGGCTCATTAAAAGCTATATGACCATCGGGACCAATACCTCCAATGAAAAGTTCAACACCTCCGGCATTTTTGATTTTTTGTTCGTATTCATTGCATTCAGCCACCAGATCGTTGGCATTACCATCAAGTATATAAACATTCTGCGGATCAATATCAATGTGCTTGAAAAAATTTTGCCACATAAAATAATGATAACTTTCAGGATGTTCTCGTGGCAGTCCTGAAGGTGATGTACAAGCAAAAATATTTATGCATTTCTTCGAAATGAAATGTTTTTCTAATTATACTTACCCACATATTCATCCATATTGAAAGTTTTAACATATTTGAATGAAAGTTTACCGTCTTTATGAAATTTAATAAGATTTCTATACATACCCAAAGGAGTTGAACCAGTTGGGAGGCCCAATACAAAGTAGCTGTAAATGCAATGAATACAATGAATTGCTATCTAAGATGAAAAACGTCTTTTCGTGAAGTGTTAAGAGAGAATTACTTGTTAGGACCTGGTTTGAAATCATTTATACGTTTGGTTACATATTTAGCAGCCCATAATCCGACCGATTCAGCACTATCCAAAATAACGAGTCTCATATTGAGCGATTCCAATCATATAAAAAGCCTGTGATATAAAAAAAATTAATTATAAAGTCGTCTTGATGGAATTGCCACCTGTGGCTTATATTACAAAAAACTTCATCAAGTGTGCAACACTTTTTGCCGGTTTACTGAGAGAATGAAAGAAAGAACTCTCCATTAATAAGAAAGCCAGTGTTGTAACGCTGGGTTTACGTAAAAAAGCGCAGATATCACGATAATTGATTGACTAAAGTATTTTTCAATGTCTCATGTTACTGCTAAAACATATTTAGTAAAAACATAAATAAGCAGTGGATTTTAATTAATTTTACAGTATAAAGTTTTTTTCTCATTCATTTTACAATTTGTATTTCGGAATAGAATAAAATTCACAGGGAATATAGCATCTCCATCTAACGAATGCGTAATGTTTGAAATGCAACATGTTTACTTATACAAATTGTTCATATATGTCATTTCTCAAAAATTTTGAAATTAGCTTGAAATTAAAGTGATTTGTACAATTTTATAAAATTTTTAGTATAAAAAGGTATACATAAAAAAGAAAACTTGAACTATTTGCTCACTTCCTGTTAAAACATAATTTACGAGTGGGGTAGTTCTTCCACTTGATTTTAACTTCTATTGGAAGGAGATGCAATTCTTGAAAAGAGACGATCATTTACTCACTCTTTATTGGATATTTTTTATATGTATGTTTTAATCTTTACACGGTTGTAGACTTATTTATCGCAAAACTAAATACATACTAATCGAAAAACAGATTACTAGAATTCACAAATTAACTGACAAGAGCTAGATAAGCATAATCGCATAATTCCCATGGAACAAAGAAGACAACATTATATGATTGTATTTAAAATAATTTTGGATTTCGTTTATATGGGTAAGTCTGCAGAGTATTGTCCATATGCCCAACTCTACAATATCTCTGAAAGTATCGCCTTCAAATTGGGAGAGGAATTTAAAAATTCTCTACAATCGATAGGGGACACACTTGCAACGCCAAATTTATATGAAGAAATTGTATGTACAGACTCGCTCATTTAATCAGTCTCAGAAATTGTATGCAAGAAATGTCTGAGAATAATAATAAATAGAGAAAATAATAATAAGAAGTGCATGATAAAACAATTTTATGTTGCTTTGGTTTATTTGGCTGTGTTTACACTGAAGTTATTAGAAATGTTGATTACATAATTGACTTCGCTTATGTTATTATGACTTACATTTTAGTTTAAACTATGCAAATAAGTGAGTGATTCAACAATGTAATCGAATCTTTGATCTAAGCTAAAGAAGAGAAATGTTAGACAACAAACAAACTGTTATGCGTATTTTTGAAATTTTGTCAAAAAGAAGGAAGTGTCAGAAACCCCATAAAGTATTTATATATTCGATCTTGAATTGATTTGCGCATGTCCGTCCTTGCATTTGTGTAATTTCTATTAAAAACACTCTGCGAATCACAAATATGAAACAGGCTCGTGTTCCCAACGTCTATGATAAGACCGCTTTAAAACTAGAAGTCGGAAATATTATTAAAGTTACCAAAATGAACATCAACGGACAATGGGAAGGTGACTTAAAAGGGAAAAAAGGCCATTTTCCATTTACCCAATGGTAAATAAAAGTTCAAGAAAGTTTTTTAATTAAATTGTTCTCATGTCAAAATGTTTTATGTTCGCTGCTTCAAGTTCTCTATCATGACGCGAGAGCTTTTTGAGAACGAAAACCAAAGAATGCTAAGTACGTGAGAGCTTATGCTGAATCATTGCCTCAAAATAAAATATGTTAATTTTGAAAGTGAGTTCTCTGTCGTTAATCTAACCTAACCAGACCTAAACACTAACATACTAAAAGCTACTTTTTTGTCTTTTCGGGTTCAGAGGCCCCATGAACTAAACGTTGAATTTTCACATGAACTAATACATGAAAATGTCATGTCATTTCAATGATTTTGAAATTGAGTATTAGAAAAAATGTAGAAAATCCCGAAAAAATTGGGGTTTATGGCCCCAAACATAGCCAACAACTTTGCGTAACCATCACTATTTATTTATTAGCCCAGAATCCCTAATAAGGATGAAATAAATTAAGTCAAGGCCTTAAAATATACTATCCCCGTATATTTATGGGTCCAGCAAAAATTTATTGATTTGTGGCGCCACACGTTCCGGGTTAACTAGGTGCACATGATGTGTTCCAGGTACTTTGGTGTATATCACAAGTTTAGCGTTTTGTTTAAGTGTTTCGACGACCTCTTCGTACACTTGCGGATGCTCAAAATTCATCCCCGGTTCCGCTCGTATATTTAAAACTTTACAACGAATCTTTTTAGCGTAAGCTATAACCTGATCAGCAGTAAACATTGCCAATGACGACACTTTCAAGCGGACGTCCCGAACAAAATGATAACCATTTCTATCAAGTAATTGCGGTGCCGTTTCCATACCACGTTTTAGTAAAATTTGCACGCACTGTTCATCCACAGAACCATCGTACGCTTCCACGACAAGTTTTACCATTTCTTGATATGAGTAACACGGCACTTTTGACAACGCCAAATCTTCATAGTCTAAAAACTTGTCGATTGCCGGGCCAGTATTGTTCACAAGACGTTCAGTGGAACGGACTGTAGGGCCAGCAATGTCAATACTAATGAATTTATCTACATCATTAGGAAAGCTGGCTGCATACATGAACGATAAAGCACCGCCGAGTGAATGACCCATCAAGGTAATATTTTTCCAATTGAATTTACGCACTATGCGCCTGATCAAGCAGATGCCATCCCAGAAGAGAAAATATTGCATACCTTTTGGATAATGCGAAGATTTTCCGTGACCTGTTTAAAAATAAGAAATTTCAGTGAATTAATTGTAGAAAGGCATCCAAGAAGTTGAGTTGGTTTGCGGTTTCGCTTGTAAAAACAAGAAAACCGTATAATTGTTTGCTAGTATCGTCATTAATAATTATTTTTATGAATTAAATATAAAGGTGCTATTTGCATTTTTCAATTTAAAAATTTTTTCCAGACTTCACAAGTTGTGTTGGAAAATGAACTGAATGAACTGAAGTAACCTCAGCACCTACCTGGCAAATCAATACAAAGTACGGGCAATTCTGCGGGCATCAATGGACATAAACGATCAAAAGTGCCACAATTATCCTGCCAACCGTGTAAAGCCAATATCGGTTGCTTATTGCGACTACCCCACCATTTGCCTGAAAAAAACCATATACCTTAGCTACATAACATAAAAGCAAAAAAAATGACAAAAGTTCTTTAAAAACCTTGGATAGTGCCCCATGGCACTACAATGGTCACTTCTTCCCAAGACTGTTCGTTACGTATTAAACCATCTGAAATAAAACACAACGTGTCAAGTTTTTTAATCTAATTCAAAATCAAACGCAATTAAACACTTGTTTAATACGCAAATATTTCGCAACATTTTAATCATTGATATGCAATTTATTTCACTTACTTAGAGAACGACTTCCGATAGAATTATTCACATTATTACTATTACTAATACTGACAAAACTGTTGTCCCGGTCTGAGCTCTCCCCGCATTTATTTTCAATATTAGCGGTTTTTTCTTCCATTTCTTCTAATTTTTTATTACGCTGCTACCGGGCGCAGTGTAACGATATAGGATATTTATTATTAGGAGATGGAAAAACTGAGCGGATTCACCACTTAGTTTTAGGCTTAAATAGTGGAAAGTTGTATTTGTGTGAATGAAATTAACTTTTGTGCAATTTTTTTTTTAGTAAGCAGCTGTAGTTTGTTATCTCTCGATTTTTGTTTTGTTTTGCTTAGATTCCTTCTTTTTATCCAATCAGAAGACAGAGTAACCAAATGATATTTTGCCGCTATTTCTATGATAATTAATATTAAACGAATCACTTCCCTTCTACAAAGGTTTTCACATATAAAAGTTGTATCAAATCAAAAAGTTTCTTTATCCCTTCGCTTTTCGGAAGAGAATTTTTGTTTTCTAGAAACTTTGCCTGCTATATACAAACAAATGTTGATAGAAGTAATCCTGCTCAGCACAATTTCAGCTTTAGATTTAACGAAGCAGACTGTGTTTGAGAGTGTTATTAATTCAGCTCGTAATTATTGGCGTGTTGGACCTACTTGTTAAGATTTTTTTATTTGTCTTTTTTTGTTCGTGGTTCATTCAAAAAACACCAAGCGTGAAAATCAATACCCATTGAGTATAAGCATGGGAAGTGAAGAGCTAATGAAATCGGTAAAACTTTAACCCACTTAATAAAATCGAAGTGCCTAGTGAACACTCTGCATTGTGTTTTATTACGTTCGGTTGTCATTTCAGCTGGTCATTCTTTAGCTGCTTTGTTTAGATATTGTCTTTGGTTTGTATTCTTACCGTCATCCACTAAGTATTTTTAAAAAATATTTTGTTCCTGTAAGCTGTTGAAGCGATCAAAACCTTACATAAGGAAAAACATAAAAAACGTTCCATTAAAATGATGCCTGAACCAGAAAATTGTCCTGGTGTGCAGACGCCCAACGCTGGTTTGGCTAGTGCCTGTCAGGGATGCCCAAATCAAAAAATATGCAGTGATCCCAACAAAAAACTGGAAGATCCTGGAAAAGCTTTGGTGGCTGCCGCATTGAAAAATGTGCGTAATAAAGTTTTGATACTCTCTGGAAAGGGCGGTGTAGGAAAGAGTACAATAACAATGTTGTTGACTCGCTATTTATCCAAAAAACACACCGAAAATAATTTCGGCGTTTTGGACATTGACATTTGTGGCCCATCGCAACCACGTTTGCTGGGCGTAGAAGGGGAAAGTGTACATCAATCGGGCTCTGGTTGGTCGCCAGTTAGTGTTGATGATAACGTATGTTTAATGTCTATTGGCTTCCTGTTGGGGTCGTCAGATGATGCTATTATATGGCGTGGCCCTAAAAAGAACGGCATGATAAGACAGTTCTTAAGTGAAGTCGACTGGGGAACACTAGATTTATTGCTACTGGATACACCACCCGGGACTTCAGACGAGCATTTATCTGTAGTATCTTATCTGCGTGATGATAACAACGAAGGGGGGGATAAGTCGTTAAATGCTATTATTGTGACGACACCGCAAGAAGTAGCTTTATTGGATGTACGTAAAGAAATTAATTTTTGCAAGAAGCAGCGGATTCCTATAATTGGTGTCATTGAAAATATGAGCACTTTCCATTGTGGCTTCTGCGGGAAATATAGTGAAATATTTCCAGCGAAAACGGGGGGAGCGAAAGCAATGTGTGAGGAAATGAATGTTCCTTACTTGGGATCATTACCTTTAGATCCGGAGTTAGCAAAGCTATGCGATCAAGGAGAAGACATAACTACACTGAAAAGCGATACTGTCGATGCACTGGATCAGATATGCCAACACTTTGCGAACTTCTTTTGATTATACGAACATTTTTTTACAACTATTGTTAAGTAATTAGAAAACGAAAATTTAAAAAAAAAATCTGGAAATCATAATAATAGATGCTTGGGTAAATTCCTACTTTGAAAGTATTAAAAATTTTTTCTGAATGGATCGATTGTGTTACTATTGCGTTGTTATAAGGGTTGATTGTGAAACGGTGATCCCTACATTTCCATATTTTGTTCAGCGCCTTCAACCCCGAAATACCGGGATTTAAATTCCTAATGAACATCTGTATTGCTTTCATTTTGTGTCTTCGGCAGTCCAGTTGTTTACTTCGTCTCTCATCTTTAAGTTAAGTCAACCTTCGCTTGATACTATATTCTGTATTCGCGAGAAAAAAGCAAAAGTTAGGATTGAAGGCTAACAGAAAATAATTCCTTTCAACGCCAGTTGTCCGTCCATTTTCCCCGGATATGGTTACTATAGTCTTCAGCTTCAAAACTTTGTTTTCTGATTTCATTAATTTTTGATTACGACTTGCATTATTCTTACATTCCTTTCACGACTTATTCAATTTCAGTCAGTCTTTAGGGTCAGTCACCCTAAAGGCATTTTTATTTTTTCCATATTTCTGTTTTGATTTTCATAGCTTCTTTTTGGCATTGCAAAATGCGAATTATATTGTTTTTAAAAATATTTTATTGATATTAATCGTTTTATATATAAGGTGCCAAGATATAAGTAAAATGAAAGTAAGTAAGAAAGTAAGAAAGTTTTTCAATTAAATTACGTTTCAATTACTTTGATTAGAAACACGTACTGTTTATATATACAATATTTTTCCTCAATTTAAGACAAAACAAATTAAATCAAAAACTTTCCCGTTCAAGTGAAAAAATGAACAAACAAAAACATTCATTTCGACTGGAGTAAGGTGACACTTCAAAAGAAATAAATTTTAATCATGTTTCTATTTACTTTAAATTTATTCTGGAAATGAACATATAAAAGCACAGAACTTAAAACTAGAAATTGTAGTAAATTTTGTATCTCGGAATCCAAAACTGGGTACAAAGACTTTCTTTAGCGTTTTTCGTTCACTTCAATTCACAAAACTACAGTAAAAAAATTTTACAAAACTACAGTAAAAAAGTTTTGAATTTTGGAGAAATCATGTAGGGAATTGAAACAGAATCTCTTATAAAATTACATTAGACGACATTTTTCTTCACCGATTTGTTGATCGGGGTCACCCTGTTGATGATACAAGTGTTCATTACTTCTACCATCCATCGCGGAGATGCTTCGACGACGACTGGCAGTGCGATGACGAGATATATGATGCAGTACGCTACGTTTAAGACGTTCTACGGCTGCAACTTCGTCTCCTTCATTATTGAATAATGATGTTTTTATATTCTCACCGCCAAACCATTTTTGTGTTTTCATGACGATATTCATTGGCGGCTCATGTGTTGCTCCGACCGCATCTGAGGACCATACGGTGATCGTAGCTGCACCTTCAATTTTTACGCTACGATGAAACTTAAATGCGCTCTCCTTGCCATCGGCTACACGTTTTATTTGCCAGCCGCCGATTTGTACTTCGTTTGCGCCCTTATTACGCAACTTTACGTATTTTCCTTCGGGATCTACATCTACAATGTCAACATCCCCTTTAGCGCTACTAGTAATATAGAAATCATCTGTTGAAATATCTTCCGATTCGTCGACAACAGTTCGTTTGCGTTTTAAAGCCCCTGAAGCGGCGGAGGCGCCGCGCATTGGTGTTTTGCGATGTGGAGTACCGCGTGAGGAACGTAAAGATTGGCTCAGAGAGCTGACCGTGGCGCCACCTGAGGAAGGGGTGATATTTAAACGGGATTCCTCCCCGCATAAGAGCTTATCATAAGCAGCGATTTCCAAATCCAAGGAAACCTGTGGATATGCCATCGAATTAGATATGCGTTAGAAAAAAATAATTCATTTTTCAACATTGGTTACCTTAATATCCATAAGATCTTGATATTCCTGCAATTGTTGAGCCATTTCATCGCGTAAACGTTTAAGCTCAGCTTCTAGGCTATCTCGTTCAGCAGAATGGCGAGCGCGTGCATTGTCCAATAACTGCTCCAATTCTTTTATACGAGAGTTAAGACGGGCATTGGTCGATTCCAATTCTTCGATACGCGTATTAAGACCTTCAATACGCGTACGAGTGCTACGTAACTCATCGAGGGCATTGGCAGCCGCATTTGTATTGCGGGCTGCTGCCGACTGCAGATTTTTAATCTTTTGTTCGTATAGCAATTCGATTTCGTCACGGTTAGCTCTCATTTGTGCTTCATACTGATCGCGTAACTCTTGAAGGGACCGTTGTAGTTTTGCCTCATACTGTTCAGAAAGGCGGCCATCGATCTCACTGATTTCCACTTGACGACGTGACCGAGTCTCATTGATTTCTTGCATATGTACTTGATCTTTGAAAGTCAATTCCTCACGCAAACTCTGTATATTATTTTCCAAATCAACCCTAGCCAACGTTTCGTCCTCCAGATTTTTTCGCGCTTCATCCAATAGATTACGCAAACGATCGAGCTCCTTTTGCAAATCGTTTAATTCGTCGACGGCTTTTTTACGATCAGCATTTGCTGCACTATATTTAGCACTCAAATCGGCTGCACGTGACTCATACATACGAGCATTTCCTAAAATAGTGCGCAAATACAATTACAATCAACTAAACATACGCGTATTCAACCAATAATTACCTTCGGCGATACTGCATTCCTTGGATTTCTTATCCAATTTTACTTTTAACTCCTCATTTTCTTCCCATAAGCGTTTAACATCAATTTCCAATTTGGCCTTTTCGCGTGCGGTATCATCAAGTAAGCGACGAGCGTCGCTTAATTCGCTCTCATACATGGTTTTTATGTTGGTGACCTCACGCGTCACGGTGTCGTGCGTCGTTTGCACTTCTATCGATAGCCGGGCATTCTCGGTTTCGAGGTTACGCACCCGGTCAATGTAAACTGCTAAACGATCATTTAAATTTTGTAACTCTGCCTTCTCTTGAAGACGAGAATGACGTGTAGGACTCAGTGGACTGGCCGATCGATTACCACCGGTTATCAATGGCGTACTGGAACTGCCTGGCTGCGGTTGGGGAGTGGCTGTGCTTGCACGTTTCGATTTCGCAGACATACTCCTTTTTTAATTTCACAACGTTTCTGATTTTTTTATGTTAGCAATATATTCACACAGTTTTAAGAAACAAAACCAAAATCAGGTAATACGTTCTTCTTTTTAAGCGAATATCCCAGGCGCGACCGCGAAATAATTATATTCTACACACTCAACGTACAAGTTACGAGAAGCAGCGTTAGGAACAGCAGCAGCGAAAAAGCAGCGACAAAAAAATAAATAGATGAGTTTTTTAACGAAACAAGAATCAAAATGAAAATTAATAACAACACAAATAAGTGGGGGGGGTGAAAGTAAAATTTATACAAAAAACATTACGAAAGAGGAATAAAGCAAGGGCAACAACACTACACACTCACTCACGCACAAGTGACCCTCGGAAGGCAACTGTACTAATCTTGGAAAAAAACTTAATAAAATATTGAAATGGGAAGTGTATGGCCACCGCCTAAAAGCAATGGATACGTTGGCATCCACTAACGCACACAAACATATGTATTCTGAAAAAATGTAAAAAATCTACAATAAAAGGTAAATTTAAATAATTTTGTTCACAATTATTTTAAACTGTCTTCACAAAACGCTATTGTTTGCAAAATTATATTGTATGGTTGTAGCTTCAATTAATCACGATCATTAATTCATTCTTTCGTAGATATCTTAGTAAAATTTTCTTCACGGAAAACAAAATAATTACTCTTTGTAATTGAAGGATTTTTCTAACACTTTCAAGGATACTTAAAAAAAAACAATATCGACGACCTTAAAATAATTCGATAATTACACACCACGGAGAAATTCTATAGATGAAGCCGGTTTACAAAACTTGTCAAGCTAATCGCGTCGTATGCAGGGATGCTAAATATGAGAACTGCCAAGAGTTGCATTTTATTTATTACAAAATTTCCTTTGCGCATCATTGCAAGCGTATTTATCATTTTAATAAAGCGAAGGACAAAAATCATTATTTGCTTTGGCCTACACAAAAATGTTGTATAATTTAATTGAAAATCAATCACACATAAGCTTACTAGTGATTCCTGTTTTATTCCTTTAACATAAATGAAACCATCGAAAACGATGACAAATGCTTTACAAAAGGCAAAGAAAAATGAATAGCAAACTTTCGCTTTCATCAAAAACGAAAGTTACTCATACTGCACTTAATGGCCTTATTTTCTTTTATGGAGATTGAAACAGTTAATAAAAAAAGGAATAATTTTCAGTTGAAAAATTAAAAATGCCATCGATGCGTTGCATTCCACAGATTCGGAAAGTGAATGTCCTTTAAAGTTTTGTGGAAAATCTAGCAAGAATTGGGTTTAATGTTAATAAAATATGACTCATTTTTCGTAATTGCAATGGTCAGTTAGCCAAGAATAACTTTCCCACTCAGAGCTGCATCACAGACTGAAGATTCATCGTGAAACTAGTTACCATTATTGCCACTTTTTAATATTTATAGAACGCAATTGTTATTTGAGTACTTGAATCTATTCCTTAATAGCCTCCTGAATTATTATTACTTTACTATCTTTCCTTTACTCCTAAAAACTTTTCAGAAAAAGCTTCTTTTAGACGACTTTAAAACTTTAAAATTTCGCAAGGAATCCTTTTGTCATTTCTTGATGTAACAAACAAAGCACAATACAATCCAGAAACGGCACACTTGCACAAATTATAATCAAAATATTTCAAAATTTCTTTTGGATGTTAATTGTGTTGGTGCGCAAACGTTATTTGGACAGCGTTGTACACTGTATGGCCAGCTATTCGTTTATAATTGCGATATCAACATTTTCAATTTTCGGATTTTTGCTTTTAGCCAAACATTCATCACCTATCTTTGCTTTCAGTTTCTATCATTATTACGTTGCACTTTAATCGTAATTATACCAAATTCTGTCTAGCTCAGCATTAAGAGAGATAATGAGTTAATATTCTCTTTAATTCCTTTTTGTGCTATATTGCTGCTTCGTTTGTTCTTCGGCTTCAATATAAATAGAGCATAATTAGTTGAATTTTTTAATTTCGCGGCATAAATTTCATTTTTATTGTTGAAATGTTATTTCCAAACGATAGATTTAAAGAATTTATGCCTGCCAAAAATGGTTGTTCTCTCATATAAAATCAATCCGACTTTTGCCTTTTTATCTCTGTCGGAAATGGCCGTTAATTCTCGGTCCGTAATATATATCTAAAAATAATTTGCGCCATATCAAATGTTTGCAACATAAAAGAAACTTCTCCTGTAGAATTTGCACAATTTAATGTTCAATGTTTATGTCAAGTAGCACAAAAAGAGCTCAAAGGGCCACTATTTTTGAGGTATTTTGTTGCGTTTTAATGCACCGACGTGTTAGGCCTTTGTACGGACGCTATTGAGCGGACGCGAGTCTCGATGACAGGTTTGTGGAGGGTATTAGTGTGGTTATGACAGCTTTGTGGAAGGTATCAATGTGGTTATGACGGGCCTGTGGAAGGCATTTTGATCATAATTCATGCAAGTGTGGTGTCGATGGATTGCCGCACATACGAAAGAATCTATGAAACATCTCATTTTAAGAAAACGTTTAAGAATCCTTCCATCTTTTCAGATTATATAATAACCTCTTTCGGAAATCAACTTATTTCATGAAAAAAGCAAATCTCGCTTTCAATTAGCTATAGTTTTTCCTATTATATATACTTAATTTATTACATTAACATTAATTCTATATTACATTGTAATCTTTAGGTTTTTTAGAGCGCAACGAAATAAACAGCTCATTAAGGTTGTGCGAATGCAACCCAGAAGGACAGATCCACTTTTTATTGCCGTTCGACTGACCTATCGGTCCATCTGAAGTCTGCGCAGTTTTGGGGATATTTTGAGAAATTTTGTGCACAGATGTCCTTTGGCCCAAAGATAAACGCTGATGAAATGGATTGGATCGGATCACTTCCCATATAACGCCTTATTTTGAAAATCATTATATGAATAACTGCGATAAGCATTAAGCGAAATCAAAAAAGCAAACACTAACTTGGACGCCTTAGTGGCATTCAGCAAAAGTCGCTAAAAAATGTTTTCTTTCTATAGGTTATCGAATGGAAAGGCTGCTGAAGTCGGAACGTTACAAATTTATAATAAAGCACCAAAATGCCTGAACTAGAAAGTTGCGCTTGTGCGCAAATTGCAAACGCTGGTTTAGCCACTCCCTTTTAAGACCATACAAATCAAAATGCAAATGAATGCAATGATTCCACAATCGATTGGGGTACATTTTCGTTATTATTATTCGACAAACCGCCGGGAACTCGTAACGAGCGTTTATTCATATGTAATATCCGGTATGCGTGATAACAAGAAAGGAGAAAAATGACTATACCGGAGGTAGTTTTATTGGACGTGCGTAAGGAAATTATTTTTTGCAAGAAGCGATAGTTTCCTCTAATCAATACCGTTATGTCCACATCCGATGTTAGCAAAGCTATGCAATCAAGCAGGAGAGATAACTAGAAGATTCACAAAATTATTTTGATGAAGCAAAAGTCCATAATAAGGCGAGACTTAACCGAAATTTTTTATAAGTATTTTAGTAAATAATTAGAAAACAAAAACTATGGCAAATATTTGAAATTATATTTATAGACATGTATGTAAACTCCTATTTTGAAGGCGTTAAAGGTTTTTTGAATGTATCAGCGTCATTAGCTTTATTATGCCCCAAGGGCATTGGTAATGAAGTGCGATTCAAAATGGTGGTCTCTATTTGCAGATTTTGTGAGAGTTCGGTGCTTTCAGCTTGTGGTGCAAATGTCAAGTTAATACTGGTTTTATCGGCAATGTTTAAATTACTACTAGCATCTGTGTTATTTTCATTTGGAGTGTTTCGCAGCTCACAACCTTCATTCGTCCCTCTGATATCTGGATTAAGAAAACTTTCATTTGTTTCCAGATTGCGTGTCTGCATATTAATGGTAGGTGATAAATGGGCCGGTTGCGACTGCATTGGCATTTGAGATTGTTGCTGTTGTTGAGTACAGTCTACGTCAGCGGGCAGTTCTGGAGGTACATTCATCAAACATATGGATTCAGTGCAGTCCCGTACTTTATATATACCTACCAGATAATCAGATAATTCGAACATATTCGATCTTAATGAGATAATAATGAACTGAGCGTTCTTTGTACGTTGTTTAATGTAATGGGCGACTATCGAGATATTCTTAAAGTCTAAAGCAGCATCTATCTCGTCCATGAAATATAAAGGTGAAGGCTTGTAATAGTGCAGAGCGAATACCAAAGCTAACGAAGATAAAGTCTTCTCCCCTCCTGACAAATTTGAAATATTTTTCCAGGTCTTTTTTGGTGGTCGCACACTGAACGAGACACCCTCGGTAAAAGGATCCATGGAATCCACTAATTCTAATTCGGCATCTCCTCCTTGTGTAATCATTTGATACATTTCTTTAAGCTTTCGGGTGATAATATGGAAGCCTTGCATAAATTCATTGTAGCGTTTCTTGCGAACATCGTCATATAATTGACGCATTTCATTACGTTTGCATGTGACATCTTCAAGCACCTGTACTCGCTCTAAATAAACATCGCGTTTCTCTATGTACTCGCCTATGCAAGATAAGTTCGGTTTCTTTTGTAAGAACTCCTCCTGTACAGTCGCCTTATACTGTATATCTTGTAAGTTATGTGTGGCCAATTCTTCCTCGGTGTAGGTTTTTAATGGTGCTTGCGGTTCTGAATCACCAGGAATTTCATGTAAACGCAAAGGTTTCAGTTGCTCACGGAAACGGGGTATTTGGGATTTAACATCTGAGATTTGAGCACCCACTGTTTGCAATTTCTGTTCAATCTCAACACGTTTCAGTTTAAGTTCGCTTTCACGCTTCTCGATGTTTTGTATTTCCTTGTGTATTCCTGAAGCCTCTAATTTGGCCTTCTCAATGTCCGCACTGACCGTCTCGACTTGCTTAAGAAACTCTCCCATTTCGTCGTCATGCTTTTGTCTTTTCTCGCTCAATTCTTTTATTTTATCTTGAGATTTCAGAATTTCTGCCCGCAATCGTTCAATTTGTGCCTCCATTTTAGTTACATTGCGTTCGGATGTGGTTACCTCGGCTTTTAGCTTTGAAACATTGTTGTTCAATTTCTTTATTTGATTGTCGAAGCTATTGATTTTATTTTGTACAGCCTTTACTGTCTCTCCATGAATTTTATCAATTTGGGCTTTGATTTGGTTAATTTTTTCGGTCACCTTATTAGCAACATTTTCCGCTTCTTTCAAGGTTTCCATTTTAATTTTTATAGCTTCTTCAATATTTTTTACTTTATTCGTGTCTGTTGTGGTCTTTTGCATCCGCGTCCGCTGAGCTTCAAGCTGTTTGAAAATACGAGGCAACTGTTCTTCCAGACTCCTAGTGGTTATTAACATTTTTTGTAAATCCGCTTCGGTACGTTGTTGACTTGATGTTAATTGGTGTACTTCACGTTCTAAGCGACCCTGTTCTTCCTGATTGAAATTGATTTCTGATTGCAATTGTTCAGCTTGAACTTGCATATCTTCCAGAGCCTTTTGGCTAACAAGTGAATTGTCAGCAGACTGTTTAGTTTTGGTTTGAACTTTGGTGCCCATTTTGCCACGGATTTGTGTCCGACCTCCACCTGACATCGTTCCAGATGTTTCAATTACATCGCCTTTAAGAGTGACTACACGATAGCGTTTAGCTCCATACGCTATGCGTGTCCCTTGCTCCAAGTCGGTAGCCACAAGAGTATTGCGCAGAGCAAAGTAAAATGCCGGCAAAACACGTTCATCCTCGACTCGTATCAGATCGTATAAACGGGGAGCGTTTTCAGGCCTGAAATATGTGAACAAAAATAAGACTAATTTTCCAATCACATAAACCATTAGTAACATACGTTTGAAAACGGTTTGAATGTTTCTCTAAGTGTTTCACCTTTTCCAAGGCTATAAACGAAGCTCGGCCTACATCGTATTGTTTTAAAGATTCAATGCATTCTTGTGCAGTATTTACTTTATCGACAATGATGTTATCCAAACGGCCACACGCTGTAGAAATTGCAACGTCGTACTTGGCGTCAATGCCGCCTAGATCACCCTTTATAATAATTAAGAAAAAGAAAAAAAAAAAAAACAAATGAAAGGACTAAAAGAAAACAATTTGTGCAAAGAGTTTGCCACTTACTAGACGTCCTAAAATACCGGGAATTTTGCCTTCGCTTTTCTGACGCATCAAAAAATCTAATACTTTATTGTTTGAACGCATAGCCTGCATGCTAATCGTTTTTTCATTTATCTAAGCGATTCAAAGATGCCCATTAAAGTTTACGTTTATTTAATTTTATCCTCCAAATTACCTCAGACTTGATTTTCATTAGTTGCGTCCTCTTGTTTTGTTCATCGTCTTGCAGTTGTAATAAAGCATTTGATTTTTCTTCAATTTCCTTCTTAATTACTGGCAAGTTTTGTCCCATCTCTTCCATATTGGCTTTTTTCTCAGCTAAACTTCGTTGGGAGTCTTCATAGGAGCTCTTCATACTTTCGTATTTACGTGTTTCGCTTACTTCGTCATGTTTCAATATCCTTAGCTCCGATTCAGAAAGAGCCAAATCGGCTTTTGCTTCATCCACATGAATTTTTAGGTCTATTAATTCGGTCTCTAACTTCTCTCGCTCGTCTATAAGCGGCTTAGTTTGCTCTTGCATGCATTTATAGTTTCGTTGCAACTCTTCCTCCTGTTCGCTCTTTTGTTTTGTAATGCATTCTAATTTCTTTTCACACTCTTTAATTTCTTTGTTATTCTTTTCTGGTACTTTACGTAACTCCACGAGATCGACTTCATTCTTTTCCATTTGAGTTTTATTTTGCTTACGAGTTTCATTTAATTTTTTCATAATTTGTTGGACTTCCACATATTCTTTATTAGCTTTTTCCAACTTTTTTTCAAAATCTTCCTTCTTTTGCCGTAAGGCTTCAAATTGCCTATTAAAAGAAAGTTTGACCTATTAGCGTCCATGTAGGCACACAAACTAAACATAACTCTTACATCATTTCTTTCCTTACAATTTCTTCCTTTTCCACCCTCTCTTTACGCAGACTATCAGCTTCGTTATCATGCGTAGCTAAATCTTGCTTAATCACATCATATTGTTGAGAGTATTCCTCTAATTTCTTGTTTTTCTGACTCAAATACTTTTGAATACGCAAATTTTTGGTGCGCGTATATTCATTTTCCTGCCTTAGATATTCGACGGCCTCGTTATAAGGTTGCTCCAAATCTTTCATTTCACGTTCCGCCAATTTGCAACGATTGTGCTTTTCCGTACGTTCTTCGGTCAATTTCTCAACACATTCATTTATTTTAACCAAAGGTTCTTTGTAGCGCGTAGTACCAACTATATCCTCCAAATATTCCAACATGCCACATTCTGTTTCTGTTAGCCCTTTAGGTTTCATCATGGCTATCGACTCCACTTCACCCTAACCGAGAGATCGTTTTATCGATTTTTTTTTCTTTTTTAAAAATTTGCTTACCTGCAATATTAAAAAGCGATTGTGATCCAGATCAACATGGTGGTTTTTAAGTAGCAATGCTACTTCCTTAAATTGTACTTTACGGCCATTTATAGTATAAAACGATGAGTTATCCCGAAAAGCAGTACGTTCTACAACAATGTCACTATTCGGTATTTCTTCGCAGGACCCATTTTCTGAATCTAAAATTTGACGAAAATGTACTGCTACGGAACATTTGCTCACATTGGGAAAGCGGGCTGAATTGTGCAACAAAGTTGAAATCTTCTTACATCTAATTTTGTTCGCGCGATAACCAAAAACAAATAACATGGAATCGATGACATTACTTTTGCCACTGCCGTTCGGTCCTATTATAGCAGTGAAGCACTGAAACCAAGCATAAATAGTGTTAATTGGATATCAAAACAGTTTAATTTTTCACTTACGTGATGAAAAGGTCCTAAAATTACTTTCCCAGCATAGCTCTTAAAATTATTGTTTTCAATTTTTTTAATAATTAACCGTGGTCCTTTACTTTCCGTAGAACAATGAGCCGGTATTGGTGGCGGTATATAAATATCACCAATTCTTGTCCCACCTTCTTCGTCCTCCAGCATGTTATGCTCATCGTGAGATGCGTTTTGCTCATTAGTTAAGCTAACAAGTTGGTTAACCTCCGCCCTTTCTGCATCCTCATTGTTATTTCTAGATTGCCTCGGTGTGTTACTATTCGTTCCTTTACTTTTACGCTCCTTGGCTTTCGTTGCCATTATAACATCGGCTTGCAATATTCCCAACAAACCTTAAATGCGCCTATTTTTGTATATGAATTTAATTGCAATAATGAAAGAAGCCGCTGAGGCTCCGTATGATAAATTTCAATTTTCGTCTTAATTAAGTTAAACAAACTCTTATAAAATAAGCAGCAATTAAGATGAACGTCATTTTTAGTCAAATAACGCTTTAGACATGATTCAAAAAATGACAACAACAGTACTGGCAACATGTAGCACTAAATTTCGAAAACAAACATGCTTTCAAAACATTGCCAGTCGTAGAAAAATAATATGAATAAAAATCAAAATTGAAAATACTCCGTGACGAAAATTTTAATCTATAATTTAGTTTATTACCAATTTTCAGAAAAACCGGAAATTGGGTTGTAATGGGCGAATTTATTCCATCCCGTTTGTCTCACGTTTGCTCGAATATACATTTAAAGCCGAAACTTATGTGGACTGTATGACTTTTATTAAGAACCACATGCACCCACTACCAATTAACAAAGCAAAAAAGGCTTGCAAAAATTTTAAGGAATCCTAAATTAAATGAAGTTTAAACATCCTTGCTATCGAAATTTCAGACTTCTTATTAATATTTTTGCATCCAAAATCCCTAATAGCTCACTCCATAGTTTCTTAATTCTTTTTTTAAATCCCTTTACATTTTGTCGCTTTTCGAGGATTATCTTCGAAGCAAGCTCAACTCTAATGCCAATTGATGTGCTTGGCGATCGTCGTAGTGAAATAGTTTGCGCAATCAAGTATTAAACAACTATAGATACGTGGTCGCAAGAAATGAGCACAAAACCATTCTTTCCAAAAAAAAAAAAAAAACAAATTGCACAATGAAGCCTCATTTTCTTTTCCGGTTTAAAAACTCGGAAGACATGATTGGCAGCCACGTTACTATATCATTTTACAAAAAAATGTAAACAAAAACTTATGTTTTACACCCAAAATTAAGGCAACCAACGTAAACATAAATAACAATGTTATTAATCTTATATATTTAATAATACCATCGAGATCCTTTATATGCATTAATTGACCCATAATTTGGAAATTATCATCTATGGCTTTCTAATAGAACAATTTCAACTTTGGAATAAACGGTCTTTATAGCTTGCTTTTCATTTCTCACAAAATATTGCATGATATAAAACAAAATTGCAGATCGCATAATATAAATCAAATTTATTTATATAAACATAAATTAGATCATAATTTCTTATATTTTAAAAACAAAGCAAATTTTTGTGCTTGCTTTAATAAAGATTTACATTCATTTTCATCTTGAAGTACGCGGTCTCTTCGTGTATGCAGACGATCATGAAATAAGAAAAAAAACCCTTTACTAATTAGCTAGATAAAATATGGATTCTAAATCTAAAGTTAACACCGATTAGGATCCTAAAACCAACATCTATCTAAGCTTTTTCAATTAAATGCAAATGAAGAAATGATAGGTATTATCTGACTACAAAGTATATAGATATACCAAATAATTTTTGCATCTTTTTATTTGTATCGAAAAGTCAATCGTTAAAAGAAAAATTTTAATAATTCCTTCAAACAGCGTTCATAATTTTAATCGTTTTAAGTTAAACAATGTATATAAAAACTTTACATTTTTATTATATTAAATCAATATATTGTAAAATTAATTAAAATGACCACAAACTCACTTTGGTAGAAAACTTTCCCTTATAAAAAAGGGTTAAGTTTTGTGTATTTTCTGTAATTATTAATGTAAACACGAGAGTGAACAATAAACAGAAAGCTTTTGCGCCAATGGAGTAAAAACGTAATAGTTTGAGATTCCTCGTACGGAGCAATAAAATCCTGCTCTTAATTGTGGTATACTTGTTATTTGAATATTAATAAACACAGTAATTTTATTTAATTCACTATTCTTAATTTATCTAAGTTTATTCTGCTTGTTTCTTGTTTGATTTTTCTTGCAATCGGGTAACCACCATATAAGCGAGACAATAACTAGTTAGTTCCATATTACTGCATCAGTTAAATGCTTCTACCAGTGGTGTATTTTCTAGGTAATAGATTGCTGTGTGTTTTGGGCACATTTTAAGCAACATATATAAAGTATTTCTCCCTTACAAGCTTTACTGCATGTAATACGTTCATGTAGTTGAGTTAGAAAATCCGCCATTTTTAAGAGTGTTGCAATCTGCTTGCCTAAAACATTTTTTTCAATTTCTTCTCAACTGAAACGAGAAGTGATTTTTCATATGGCAATACTGTTCCAATTTAGCAAAGAGAACATAAGCCATTTTGTTTTTTGTGCTGAATTGAAGAAAATATTTTTACGTCTAACAAAAAAACGCATTTTCTCCCATCACCAGGTATCAACGGGAAGAAAACTAATAAATTGTTACTTAATTGTGTGTAATTAAAACAAAACTTAGGCTACAGATAAATTCGTGAAAGAATGGGACGCAAAAAGAAGAAGGCTTCAAAACCATGGTGCTGGTATCCTTTTTACAAATCGAACAAATTCTATTTACTTAGCAGCAGAAATTTTTGGGGATTAATTGGAGCACAGAAAAAGTGGAATTTTTGTGTTAAATGTTGTGTATACTAATATTTTTTATATAATCGTTTGTGTGTGCGTGCGTGTGCTTTAAGTGTCCTGAATGATGTAGGCGTTCGGCGTTATCAAAGTTATTTTAATTCTTGAAGTTGAACTTTTTTCTTGTGTATTATGGTTTTCCTTAATTGCAGCTATTAAAAAAAAAATAGGTATTGCAACCGCGAATTTGATGATGAAAAAATCTTAGTACAACATCAGAAAGCGAAGCATTTTAAATGTCACATATGTCACAAGAAATTGTACACGGGTCCTGGTTTGTCTATACATTGCATGCAAGTGCACAAAGAAACTGTGGACAAGGTGCCAAATTCTTTACCCAATCGTTCTAATATAGAAATTGAAATATTTGGTATGGATGGAATACCAGCAGAGGACTTACGGGAACATGAACGTCAAAAAAATGGCGGCAAATCAGATTCCGATGACGAGGAGCCGGCCGCCAAGAAGAAAGTCGAAAGTATGCATGACCGCTGCGGTAGATGGATTCTTTATAAATAACATAATTGCATTTCAGTACCGTTAACGGCACCGCCACCTATGATGATGCCACCGAATATGATGCCGCCACATATGATGGGTCAATACGCCCAATACGGAATGATGCCGCATATGGCTCCGATGCCGCCATTTCTGGGGCCTGGTGGGATACCCATGATGCCAACACACATGATGCCTCCACGTCCACTCTTCCCAGCCGCTATGGCAGCGGCGACTACCTCTGCAGCTGCTGCTGCTCATGCGGTTGCAGCTGTTGCTCAGCAGAAACCTACGTTCCCTGCATATAGGTAAAGTAGATTTGAACTTAGCCTTGTAGATATGAACTTCCATTAAGCGATTTTATTCATTTTATTAATTCTTGCAGTAACGCCACGATTAGTGCGCCACCCACTACAAATAATCCTAACATTACTGCACCCACCACCAGTAGTGCAAGCGCAAGTGGGGAAGCCCCCAAATCACAAGTGGTTACCAGTACTAGTGGTGTAACTTCGAAAATAATGCATCCTCCCGAGGATCTCAGTTTGGAAGAATTAAAAGCGCGTAGATTACCACTGAAAATAAACAGCAACAATCTTGCAGCCAGTTCTAGCAATCGAAGTAATAATTCAACGCCTAACACCTCAGCGGTGACGGCTTACTCGACGGGTCTCACTTCAGCAACATCGACGTCGAGTATAACAACGAATGCTGCAAATGCGGCTGCTACGGCAGCGGCCATCTCCAAGGCACAGGAAGTGAGTTCTTATCATAGATATAGAAATCATAGTCAATAAAAACTGTAAAACAACAAAACAGACATTAACAAAGAAAACATTCGCATCGGCAAAACTAAAAAACGGCAAGAATTAAACACGGACAAAAAAAATAAAAGTAAAACTTTAGTACATAGGGTTTAGGGGACGGAACTATAACCACTAATTTCGAGCTAAGTGGAAATGGGAAAGCGAACCGCAATTAATCCGACACTGACGTAACACACGTTCTGGTTTCGAAGACAGTCACGTCGTATGAAACATCCTTTTCCGTTCCTTTATACAGTTTTCTTGTCCTATTAAAGGAAGTTATATTAATATTGAATAATTTTTTTTGCAATTTTAAAATTTTGCCGACATATTAAGGAAAATAGAAATCCAATCCTCTTACTTCAATTTTTTTTATATTTTTCTTTTAAACATTAAACTTAACTTTACTGAAACAAAATATGTGTGTGTATTTTTTATATTTTACGAAAAAGGCAATTCTTATTGTGAAAATAAATCATTGAAATTAAAAAAAGAACGATTAAACTAAACCCAAAACAAGTTATTTTTCTTTTTCGTAATTAAGTAAAGAAAAAAAAAAGTTAATTTAAAAAAGGGGCAAAGCGTATATGTATACATGCATACAATCTGATCTGATATTTCTGAAATCGGGAAATAATTAAAAAACAAAAATACCATTATGTTTTGGCAATACATTCACATTTAAGCACAAAATCTTGACAAGAGAGGAAGAGATTGACAAACCCAGACAGGAGGACGATGTGTTTCTTCAAAATTTTTTTTTACCAAATATGTTAAAATGTGTATATTTATATATGCATGCGTATGTATACATATATATATATATGTCGCAAATCGTTTCGTATCTTAATATGTTCATTTTATTTGTTTCTCCCCTTGCTAACGCCTTCTGCCTTATGCGAACTTTAGGTTGCTACCATGGCTGCAGTGGTGCAAGCTCAAGCTCAGGCTCAAGCGCAAGCCCATGCCCAGGCTCAAGTTCAGGCCCAAGTACAAGCGCAGGTTCAGGCACAAGTTGCTCAAGCGCAAGCTCATGCGGTAGCTGTACAACAACAGCAACAACACCAACAACAGCAACAACAACAACAACAAAAACAATTTGAAGATCTCAATCGTGTCGTAATGTTACAACGTATTCAACAAGCGCAAGCAGCTGCTGCTGCAGTTTCACGTCCAGGTGCAACAGCTGCAGCCGCAGCAGTCGGTATGGTAAGTCATGCCCCTTTTGGGCTATAACGGTGATCAAGTCTCGAATGAGACTGCAATTGAAAATTCAAATTTTCTTATTTGAATTTTTCAAATATTTATTGCAATCAAATCAACTCAAACGCGTTATTAGAGCAAATAAAGCAGGGAAGTTAGGATCAAGCAGGGAAGAATTGCATCTTTCTTATTTATTCATTACCTTTGATTGAAAATTGACTTTAGTTTGGTGTTTGGCTTTTAGGTTTGCATTTTAAAAATCCCTGCAACTACTTTATAAACGTCGCAAACCTTTGAAAAAAGGCCAAGGTCTACTAAAGCGTCCATCTCAATTGAAGATGCTTCCAATTTGTAACAAACTGGTTTTAGGTTACTTTTCGGATTTGCTATTTGAGGGATTCGCCTATCAAAATTGTTCAATATATTCTACTCGGACCAGTAGCCTTTTATTAAGGTTTGAACTACTCTTTTTGAAAAGAACGCGAACTTGTGCTTGGATTGGCCGAAACTACTTTGCTCAAGTGATTTACGCGGGCAAAGTTAGGTTGTCTACCATGTACCCTGCTAGTCGTTTTACGCTCACTCATTTCACATAACTCATTTCACATAACTGTTAAGACCATATTGTTAGTCTAGAGTTTTTACAAAGTTTATGAAGCGTAGAATTACAATGATTGATGTTTCGTAGGATTCTTCGGATTTCTCAATCTATGATAAAGTTTTGCTAACAATTTGCCGATTTTGTTGTCTTCGATATTTGCTTATTGGTGTTAGTTGCGGTATTCCAAATCAACTTTTTCATACAATATGTAAATCGCCGATCTCATATGGCACAAGTTTTTCCGCTATCTGTTCGCTTGTTATGCGGTTGCTTTAACAAAAACCTAATTAATTGATTGGAGACTGATATATTCAGCATAAGACACACTTGTATTGCTCAATTATAATAATAATAATTATTCGTAATTCCTTACGTGTTTGTTTTAACACAGGTTAAGCATCTTAGCCAAAATACCGCCTCCATGTGAGATATGCAAGAGAACGATTTAGTTTAGACAAATAGAAAGGAGATCGCATTAGATTGGCATCTACTTGGATAATTAAAAGGAATATTGAATTGAATACGTATTACTTACTTCGCGCTTGTGCTAGCGTCTGATGCATTCACGATATTCAATGAAATCTTGAAACAATAACAATTGCCTAAAACAGTTTTAAATAATTGGTAACAATTACAGAATTAGTTAATAACCACAAATGAACTGTTACAGGGCCCCCCCTCCCCCCAATAATGAAAGTTTTTCAAAACCGAAATGTAAGTGCATTTTATTTCATAGTAGAAAAAGCAAAATTTGAAAACTAAAAAAAAAAAAAAAAAAAAAAACAAAAACAAATTAATTTAATAAGATTAAGTACGTGTAAGCAAATAACGCTAATTATATCCGCATATAAGAAAAGCAGCGTAAGTACAATTTTCTTAAATTTTCTATTATTGAATTGTCGTAATGGTTGCTGAGTTGGTTGATTGATTGATTGATTGATGGATTGAATTGAATTGATATGAAATGTTTTGAAAATATATCTCTAAATGTCTTCTTTTTTTTTTTGTAAATTGTAAATTTTTTCTGGAAAAGCATTGATATCCACATACTTACATATATTAAAAATAAATAAGTTTGTCTAATATTTAGGGGCAATTTAGTGTAACTTTTTCATACATGTTTTTTTTTTTTTTTTTTTTTTTTCTTTGTTGTTGGTTATATTAGAAAAAAGCGGGGAAGTAAAAAAAAATTAGTTTTAAGAGCTTTGAAAATGAAGGCGAAAAAGCCGCAAATGCAAGCAAAGAGGAGAAGCTTTCTATTTTGGTATCACATTATACATGCCTACTTTCCACCCATAGCATATAACCGTTAATCTTTAAACATTGCTCGCGCGTTACACGCTCATGGTTTTTTATTCACATTTTCATTGTATCTTACATCTCTAGAGTCATGTTTTATTTGCTATTTACATATAGAAATTTTTCAATTATTTTTAGATTGCAAGACTTTTTTTATGGAAATGACTTACTTACTTACTTACATATATATTTAAACCTTAATTTTCAATTGTTTCGTGCTCATCCTTATGGCGTATACACGGTCAAGGGTACATAAATAGCTTTAATTTAAATCAAAAATTTTGATGAAAAAATATTTTCGTTACAAAAAATAATTATTTTTAGCTTAACGCTGTTGTGAAGAAAATGTTCCATCAGAAAAGTGGATTATTTCGTGATTTATATTTTAATCCAGAATTGACCGCATAAACAGAGTGTGGGAGAGAAAAGAAACGATGCAATTTGTAAATAAGATCTTTGCCAGTTTCAAAGTCATTTCACGAGTTCAAGTAATCAGTAGTTTCTTTACTAGCTGTAGCGAGTAGAGACTTCATTCGGTGCCGCAAAAAGATTGACTGCATTGTTGAAAAGCCATGGACAATGAATTATTCGACATAAGCGGTTGGAAGGTTACAAAATCGTTAAGCAGATATATGATTTTATATCCGGTAGTGGTGTAGGATATTACAACAGTCGGATTGCACCGATTTGACATTTTCACTTCCTTTACTCTGCGTTTCTATAAATGTTCGTTCCTCAGCCATTCACAATTCATTGACCATTCACTCATCATCATCTGCTACTAAAATTCTTAATTTACTTAACATCTACGGATGAGGTTCAGGTAAAACCGGTTAGTACAATCATTTTTTTCCTTTTTTTCCTTTATTTCATTTTGATTTCTTTACAACGTTACCATCATAAGCAACTGACCATTAATAAGTAGTATTTCGTTTGTAACTGACTTTTATTTATACATTTATTTATTTATTTACTTTTTTTTTTTAATTGAGTTATGTGAGTACAAGTGACACGACGCTTAATATAGTAAGTACGTCTTCAAATTGTTTTTTTTTTTTTTTATTTTTATTACTTAATTTTTGTGAACTATTATTAAAAAAAAAAAAAAAAGAAAAAAATCCTTTTTTATATATATATATATATATTATATCAAATTCATTGTAATGCAAAGCAATTTTTCCTTTTTTTTTTCAAATTGTTTCAAATTATAAATTACAACACTTACACACAATTCACTATATAAATTGAAACAATTAACTTTAATTACATATCAATTATTTGGATTAATTGTACGATTATTATTAATACCTCATTATATTACTATTCTTAAAAACTATTATTATTATTATTATTATATAAAATTATTATTAAATATTTCAATTATACAAAAACAAACATTCTTATACCATTTAGATTACATGTATATATATACATATATATATATATATATACAATATTTACATATAATATTTATATATATATATATATGTATATATGTATATATATATATATATATATAAATAAACTTATTTGTGTATAACTATGCGACCTCAAATTGTACGGTCCTCCCTCACTTTTGTTCTAATTCTGTTGTCTATCATGACATGTTTTTTATTTTCTAATTGTTTGTATTTGATTTTCTCTTTCTTCGTTTGCCGTTCATTGTCGTCTATTGATATGTGCGATGTTGGTTATTGACGGCTTGCCATTGATGTTGCATTTGGCATATTCATGTGCTATTTAGATGCCAATGCCCGGTCAAATGCAATTAGTTCAGCCCATGTTACGCCCTGCAATGGCTATAGCAGCACCACCTGGCGCTTTAATTGGTGGTAATTTGTTACGCGCGCCAGGTCTACCAGGAATGCCAGCAGGTAATTGTCTTTTTTTTTGTTTCTCTTCTCAACACTCAAACAAATTCATGGAAAGTTTAAGTTTGTCATGAACAACTTAAGTTCTTCAATATTTCGTGCGATGTTCTTAAGATGAAAAACGATAGCATTTGATGGAAAGACTTGAAGGAAAAATTATGCCTTTCCTATTCAAATTTTTTTAATTTATTATTGTTTTCAGGATTAATAGCACCGATGCAAGCTATACCAATGCATGGACTGCCGGGTGTACACGGTATGAATGTTATGCTACCTACCGGCAATCCAATGCTACAAATGATGCCACGTTTCCGGTGATCCGTTCCACAAGGACATCTTTGCTTCGCCCCCATGATTAATGCACCGATGCCGATTATTTATACGGAGGGAAGAGCAAATTCTTCAATCTCTCCTACCATCATCTAATCGAGATTGTCAACGAACGACGACTGTTTTTAAGTACGAAAATTATCTTCAGACGCAACGCAAGTAGAAACAAAAGTAATGATTGTAAAAGCATTTTATTAATAGCCCTCAATACTCATTTATATGAGAGTTAAAATTTTTCTTGTTTTTTGTTCCCCATCAAATTACCAAAAAGCAAACAAAAAAAAAAAAAATAAATAAATAACCAGAACAGAAGAAGAGGGCACCTTAGCGCGCTTGGGAAAGAATTATATGAAAACACTTTATATTCAACGCTTGTCTCTTTATGCTTTCTTTTTTTTTTTTTTTTTTTTTTTCGTGTAAAGTTCCTTAACTGATCGGCTTCATGTAAATTCTTTTAATGCCTTCTCATAAGTTAGCTAATGTAATATAATAATTTCCTTTTTTTTGTTTTTTATTTTGATTTTTATTTATTTATTTTTTTCTTTGTTTTTGTTTACTTTTTTTTAATTATTCTAAGGCACGGTTTGTTGCCTGTGCCTGCCTATTGATTTATATTCGTAAGAAAGCAATCATAAAAAAAAAAAAAAAAAATATTTAATGAAAATGCAAACAAAATATATTAAATAATAGTGTACAACTACAGTTACTACAACAAGAACAAGAACAACAAGAACAACAAGAACAACAATAATAGCAACAACAATAAGAAAAACAACAAAGAACAATAGACAGCAACAAATAATGGTAACTATTATTAATTATTGCGGTATAATACGAATGGTGTTAAAAGATGTTTTCATTTCAATATGCATTTGATGGGGGAAAGGGGAATGTTTTCACTTAGCCAAATGTTAACAAACACAAATAAACAAGCAGTAAATCGAAACTAATCCTTTTGCCATAGAAACCGATTGCATTGAGACAATTTATGTACAATTAAATCTTATTCTGCACACATTTCAATATATATTCAATATATATATATATATATATATATATACATATATACCTTATATACCTTATATGTATATATATATATATATAGTTCACATTATTACTGTTAGCAAGCAATTTTTCTATAAACATAACTACACATCATTTTTATACTGCAACTTATAGAATGTCTTATGCTATTGATTGCGTGTTTATAAAACTTTGTTTATAAAAAAAAAAACAAAGTTTTTATGCTTATCAATTACCTCGTATGTACGTACGTGTAAACAGTGGAGAAATGGTTTTTGTCATTTTATTTTTACAAACTTTTTTTTTGGTTTTTTCAAAGACCACAACATGTTTTTTTGATGAACGCTTGTAGAGAATGTCTTAGCTGGCATAGAATTGCAATCGGGCTAAACTGTGATAATTGGTTGGTATTAACCGACATCAATTGCATATTGTGAAGCACTGCTAATTCCAAGAAAATGATAGGAAAATCCCATTCAGGTATGTAGTTCAGGCTTTTTATATATCTGCGTTCGGCAATCGGCGGATTGCCTTGAGTCTTTAAAATAAATCATTTTTGACCTTATCATAATTATCAAATCAATGCAAATAGTAAAAATATTAGTGCTAGTGCAGCTAAGAGCGATGAATATTGGGGGACGAATCAACATACATCTCAGCTAAATGCTTCCAAGCTAGATTCAAATGGTCTCTTTGCCATTGCGTGTGATGGCGCAGACATATTTTGACATGAAATGAAAATTAACGGTTGTCGGCACGGGCATCATCATATGCACGGGAGACAAATGCGTGTACGGTAGCTAACGTTTTAATTACCCGAAAGGCCTATTTAACCTTCCTTTGGCCGGCTTAGACAAGGTGCTGCGAGACATTCTTCATTCATTATCGATTAATTAACATTTCTTGTCATTTTCATTGCTTTCCTCTTCGCCCGTCTCACAACCTTGCTTGATTAAAAACATTTTCACCAGATTTTCATGGCTGCAGTCATTTTATTAGCCTCTTCTTTGGACGTAGTGACTGAAATGTTCCTATTAGTTTTCCTAAAATGAAATAAAAATTATGTCAGCTGAGATTTTATCATTTCGCAAGTTATTACCTATTTGTTATAATATGTGTTAAATATTTCTTTCAAATCAAAATAAAATTTTTATATAGCTTAACGCATGT